GGTGAAGAATCAGGAGTAAAGAACAAAACTTATCTATGAGAGTCAAATGTGCTTAGGCTTGTAGTCAGATACTCAAATCGGAAATGTACATGGTTCAAGCTTAAAGCATGTTATAGAAGCTGTCAAATAACATGCTTCTACGTAAAGCTCAGAAAATAATTACTTCTTTATAGAGTTTGAGGTAAAGAATGTGCTTTCATCATTTCAGTAAGTTCAGGAAGTCTGTTGCTTCAGTCTTGTCCCTCAAAAGATACTGTTACTTGTATTTACGGTCTTCTGTAAAAAAAGAATCCCGCTACAAGCAGGTCATATACAAGGGACTGATGCGAACCTATGCAATTAAACACAAGGTATTATCTCAACAAAAAAAAGAATAAGCTTGTACTAATTCTGTCCCATAAACTAGATGCTCAAAGGCCAAGAACTTATATAGCTTCTCACAAATTATCTCAACTTCACACAAAGCTAAAAAAGAAACTAGAATAAATATGAACGATAGCTTCTGCATTTTCAAAATTAAAAAACAACAACATTTAATGCATAGAGGAGATGGTTATGAAATTCATAAGATAGAAGAAAATGTTAAATTGGCATATTAAGGGACTAGCTATACCTGAATGAGGAAATCCATCTGTTTGTGTGGTTATAATGAGAGATCATAGATGTATCTTCATAATTAGCGCCACTCAACAAACCAACTTTATCATCAATACTGCACGAACCGAAAGAAAAAGAAAAAGAAAAAGAATTAGCCATGCTAACATCGGAGAAATTAAGATATATTGAATGCTAAGCTTTCAATTTTCTCACACCATCCACAATATAATTTATAATTATGGCTTAAAGTACCTTGTTGTGGCAAGAAACCTTCCAGAAGGTGAGAAGTAAGCCGAGTGCACAGCTCTTTTGTGGAAGACAGTTTGCAAAGATTTTGGTTTATGTGCACTAACTTTTCTCAAATCCCAAATGCATGCACTACCATCTGTAGAACTTGTCGCCATAATATTACAGTTTTCTGAGGTAAAATCTATTGTGTTAATCCTTTCGTCATGCAGATTCCACGATGCTGAAGATTTTCCTGCCCTGAGATCCCAAATACCAAGTTCTCCACTGCCTTCGCCATAATATATAGATTTCATATCATGTGGCCGCTGTGATATGGAAAATATGGAATGCTCGCTCAAATATACTAAATCAAACATTTCCTTTTCAATATCCATCATCCTGATAAATCCATCATAGCAAGAAGTGAACATCTGCAAAAGAAAAAGAAAGTGTAACTTAAAAAGACATATCTAGATCTGTTCTTCACTCATTACAGCTTATCCAGACCTGTAAAACCAAAATGCCTAGTAGTCAAGAATCCTTTTCCATATTTATCCTCTTAAGGGTACTGGTTAGCATTGAAAGAAGCCCTGCCTAGCATAATGCAAGTAATGAATGCAAGACAGTAAAATGCATCATTGCATAAACCACACCATGGAATACAATCATAAACTTGTAAAGGTAATAAAGACAAATTAAACACCTAAGTAATTTTATAAGTCAGTTTGCTTTTTTACAGTATGCATTTCCACCAAAACACTTTGGCCCTCTACAAGTTTCCTTTTAACATGAAGGCGCTATGCCTAGCTATAAGAAAGAAAAGGTCAATATAAGAAACAAAGGTAAATCTGCTTTTTCGAGCACATATGTTCTAATTACTGTATCTGGAAAGAAATGGCTGTCCAAGTTAGAAAATTCCAAGATTAGTAGAAGTTTATCACTCTTGAAATGCAAATTAACCATACCTTTGACACAGAAAAAGGGTTCATAATTATTCCTGAAACTGGCCCTGAATGAGCATGGTACAAATAAATCCCATCTCCATCCTCTTGTGGAGCATCAACATTCCAGAAACCTATATTGCCAAATTTGTTCCCTACAGCAACCATTCGGACATTGTTGGTGGGGAAAAACCGCACATTTAATATTCTTCCTGGCACAACCCGTGCTATGTTGTCTGGTTCCAATCTCAGTGATTCCAAATGAACTGTACCAGAGGCCTTTCTTTTCTCTGTCCAGTCACCTAAAACAGTATCTTGATCCACGCCCTCATTTGCATCGTCAATTGTGCGAGAGAAACCCTTAATTGTTTCAATCAACTTCTGATTTGAGACATCAAAGTCGCCACTATATGCATCCCTCATACTTATTGGTGTAGGTTCTCGAGGCGACTTTTTGGTTGTGGGTTGTGAGCTCTTGTTAGGTGATATCCTACTTGGAAGATCATCAAAATCATCTTTTAGCCCACCAGCTGTAGAAGAATCCGGTGCCATACCTTGAGTCCTGAGAGACCGCCGCAACACAACTGGTGATTTAGACCTCTGTTTCTTCTGTGGACTCGCCTGATATGATTTACTTTGAGCTCTGCCACGTCG